GGGTTGAGCACCTCCACCTTGAGCTTCTCATCCTGCGATAGCGGCACTTGGTCGAGCACCAAGAGGGAGGTGGGTTTGCCGGCGGATGCGCGCGTGTTGTGGAGCACGACGGTCCTGGTGAACATGGCCGTGTTCTCTTTGCTAAACAGGCCTGCCGTAGCCCGTTGGATGACGGGCTTGGGGTACGTGACCTTGATAGCTGGGTCGATTCCCAGGCTGAGAGTAAACGTTTCACCCGCGCTGCAGCGCGGCAGGCTCGTTCGGCCCATGAAGCTTCCGTCGAGGGTCAGCCCCGCGCGTCCCTTGAATAGCGTCATTTTGCTGGTGTTCCTGAGCTCGGCCTTTAGGAATGCCACGGGCTTGTGCTTGGCGACAACAGTATGACTGTACGCTATGTTTGAGAAGCGGACGTGGGCGACGCGTTGCTTCGTCGCAGTAGACTTGGGGATGAGCGTCTTCAGCCCAGCAAGTTCGTATGTAGATGTAAGACCGGTCTCTTCCATGATGGAGTCTGCCGAATCAGACTCCTCCTCATTGTCTTCATCACCGTCGCCATCACCACCGCCGCCGCCACCGCCGCTTACAGGAAGCATATCCGACTTCTCGCGGTGTTCCACGACGTTTGAAAGCGTTTTTGCTCTCGCACCACCTGGGGCAGCTGACCCGAACCCTGCTGTCGATGATGACGGTGCACCGCCGAACAGCCCCCCTGACGATCCCCGGGTATCTGGGGCAGGTGTTCCAAAGAGGCTCGCACCAGCTGGTTGAGCTGGAGGTGGGGGAGGCATAGCGCACTGCGCTACAGGGAAGGAGGTAGGAGCCGGAGCCGGAATGGAAGAGTACTGAGCGGCAAGGGCCCGCTGCTTCTTCTTGATGGACTTTCCAGCCTGGAAACTAGCCACGGACTGGACTTCGTCAGGAACACCAAACATTTCACTCCGAGCTTTGTGTGGTCCCGTTTGTTTCTGCTTGGCCAGGAAACTACCCGTGTTGAAAACTTCATCGCCGCTTCGGGCTATCCGTTCATGGCTCTCTGAATACCCGAATGGAGGAGCGCCATGCGCGAGACTGATGTACCACGGATTGAGGGTCGGGATAGCATCGTCCAGCCCTGAGAATGTCGTCTGGGACGTCGACAAGACAACCTTGCAGTTGGACCACGTCTCAGACGTGGAATTGTGAAGCTCGGCATCGAAACTGAGTGTTCCTGTGGCACTCGTCGTGGAAAGCTGCAAGTCGTATGTTGGAGACCAAGATGCTGACGAGGTGACGTACGACAAGACCAGGTCGCACAGGGTAATTCCACCGTCGGCCGCATCGTCAATCGGCGTGTCATCCACAACTGGCTTCGAGACACGGGTCTCGCTAGATACCGAAGTCCTCCTCGAGCTCGACGGGGTAAACGTATCCGTCTCAAGTGTAATGCGGACAACGTAGCAGTATTTCGGCCAATACTTCCCCCTCTCCTTTCTTACTCTGTTCTTCTCCCTCCTCTGCTCTTCTCGTCGTCTTGCCTTTTTGAACAAGTCCTTGGACCTGGCTTTGCGAATCCTTTCTTTTGCCCTTTCGGCCTTAACGCGCTCTTTGTCGTCCATCTTTTGCAGTTGGTATACTTGATCGATTTGATCTTCGATTTTTTCAGACACCTCACGCTGCTGCTTTAGACCAGTCATGTAGTCATCGTAGGCTTTTGATCGTTGTGTCTTGTACGTCTCCAGACTCTCTTCGATAACAACTCCGCGTTTCTTATCCAAAGTCTTGCCGTATGCGTCAAGAAGCTTGAGACGGCTCTCTGCGCTGGCAACGGTTTCATTTGCTCGTCGGCGTGCATCTTCCAGCCGTGTCAGCTGTTCCTTGACTGCTTTCAACTCAGGGCCTTCTCTCCACCGCCTGTCGTCCAAATCGTCGTCATCTGAGTCATCTGAGTCATCGCTATCTGACTCGGGATAGACTTCTTCAAAGATTTCTCGGTTGGGGAGTTGCTCTACTGAGACGTCACTGATGGTGAAGGCTGCCCCGCCCTCGACCTTGACTGAGTCTTCATCTACGGTGGGGCTGAGTCCAAAGATGGTGAGTTCATTCGTGCCAGACTGTGGATGATGTTGGTTGCTAATCTCTGTCTGGAATCATGAATGAGGTTACTGTGACACTTACCTTGAGATTCACGTTTTTAATGTCCCGCTGGATCTGGGCTCTGGTAGGGAAAAGGGTTACGGAGCGCGTACCGAGGTCTCGGAGTTTGTACTCAATCCTATGGATGGGGTCCATGATGAAGAACTGATGGTGCTAGCTAGTATGGTCTGGTTTGTTGATTTGTTGGAGCAATGATCAAGTGAAAGTTGTTGCTGTTCGGCTCACAATCGAGCGTGATGTATGGGAGTTTGCAAATTTGGCCGCAGGATTAGCTTCAACAAGCTGTTGACTGTGGGCTGGGTACAGAATCGTCACGATTGACAAGGGGCGCATGAATATCGATGAAGTTGACGGCATGAGGAAAAGTATGAAGGCTGGCGGATGCTTAGCCCCAAATTTTGGCTTGATCCCAGATGACATTGTCGCCAGGTTTGCAGGCATCCAACTAGGCAGCCTCCCAGGCAGAATGAGGGCACATACCTACAGATAACATAACCCCCGAATGTTTAGTCAGGTGTGACATCGATTACCGGCTGAGTCACGTACTGCAGCTGCTTTTGGAATGGAGGAGCGCCATGCGCGAGACTGATGTACCACGGATTGAGGGTCGGGATAGCATCGTCCAGCCCTGAGAATGTCGTCTGGGACGTCGACAAGACAACCTTGCAGTTGGACCACGTCTCAGACGTGGAATTGTGAAGCTCGGCATCGAAACTGAGTGTTCCTGTGGCACTCGTCGTGGAAAGCTGCAAGTCGTATGTTGGAGACCAAGATGCTGACGAGGTGACGTACGACAAGACCAGGTCGCACAGGGTAATTCCACCGTCGGCCGCATCGTCAATCGGCGTGTCATCCACAACTGGCTTCGAGACACGGGTCTCGCTAGATACCGAAGTCCTCCTCGAGCTCGACGGGGTAAACGTATCCGTCTCAAGTGTAATGCGGACAACGTAGCAGTATTTCGGCCAATACTTCCCCCTCTCCTTTCTTACTCTGTTCTTCTCCCTCCTCTGCTCTTCTCGTCGTCTTGCCTTTTTGAACAAGTCCTTGGACCTGGCTTTGCGAATCCTTTCTTTTGCCCTTTCGGCCTTAACGCGCTCTTTGTCGTCCATCTTTTGCAGTTGGTATACTTGATCGATTTGATCTTCGATTTTTTCAGACACCTCACGCTGCTGCTTTAGACCAGTCATGTAGTCATCGTAGGCTTTTGATCGTTGTGTCTTGTACGTCTCCAGACTCTCTTCGATAACAACTCCGCGTTTCTTATCCAAAGTCTTGCCGTATGCGTCAAGAAGCTTGAGACGGCTCTCTGCGCTGGCAACGGTTTCATTTGCTCGTCGGCGTGCATCTTCCAGCCGTGTCAGCTGTTCCTTGACTGCTTTCAACTCAGGGCCTTCTCTCCACCGCCTGTCGTCCAAATCGTCGTCATCTGAGTCATCTGAGTCATCGCTATCTGACTCGGGATAGACTTCTTCAAAGATTTCTCGGTTGGGGAGTTGCTCTACTGAGACGTCACTGATGGTGAAGGCTGCCCCGCCCTCGACCTTGACTGAGTCTTCATCTACGGTGGGGCTGAGTCCAAAGATGGTGAGTTCATTCGTGCCAGACTGTGGATGATGTTGGTTGCTAATCTCTGTCTGGAATCATGAATGAGGTTACTGTGACACTTACCTTGAGATTCACGTTTTTAATGTCCCGCTGGATCTGGGCTCTGGTAGGGAAAAGGGTTACGGAGCGCGTACCGAGGTCTCGGAGTTTGTACTCAATCCTATGGATGGGGTCCATGATGAAGAACTGATGGTGCTAGCTAGTATGGTCTGGTTTGTTGATTTGTTGGAGCAATGATCAAGTGAAAGTTGTTGCTGTTCGGCTCACAATCGAGCGTGATGTATGGGAGTTTGCAAATTTGGCCGCAGGATTAGCTTCAACAAGCTGTTGACTGTGGGCTGGGTACAGAATCGTCACGATTGACAAGGGGCGCATGAATATCGATGAAGTTGACGGCATGAGGAAAAGTATGAAGGCTGGCGGATGCTTAGCCCCAAATTTTGGCTTGATCCCAGATGACATTGTCGCCAGGTTTGCAGGCATCCAACTAGGCAGCCTCCCAGGCAGAATGAGGGCACATACCTACAGATAACATAACCCCCGAATGTTTAGTCAGGTGTGACATCGATTACCGGCTGAGTCACGTACTGCAGCTGCTTTTGAAATATTTTTATTATATAAAAAATAATAAAAATATAATATAATATATTCACTTATTTTAAAAAAAAAAATCAAAAAAACGGGCTAGATGGAGGGCATCTAGCAACACCATATTTTGGCCGTACCTAGGCTAGGGAACCGTAACTAACCACGCAAGAGTTGGGGCTTTCTTTTTTCTTTTTTCTCATTCCTTTCATACAACCTTTATTTATGAATCTCAGAAAGCCTCATGTGCCAGACTGCACGATGCCTTTAGTAAGATATGACTTGTGCATGTGTGTGTATGTGAATGATACAACTACCCCAACTGACAAATTGGGAAACCAACCGGTGCACGTGGTTACTGAAATACACATGCATCCTGTTTGGATGTTCGCAGCGCTACGCTGAACAAATATTACAAGTCATGTAATCACAACGCTATTCATTTCTTGGGCCTTGCCGCGTATGACAAAAGATCACTACTGACACGGGTGTTGGTGACAGTCACAAAAGAGTCGAGTGTATCGTATAGTCTTGTGTTGGGGCCAAATGCATAAATCGTGTTATCCTTCCATCCATGGTATCTACCAGAGAGAACAATAAAAAGCCGTAAATCATTGTACATAATTCCCGTCAACGTCGCATGAAAAAAAATAAAAATCATACTATGCCCTCGCTTAATCAGAGTCGTCATCAAGGCCACGGCTGCCGTGCTTCTTCTTCTTCTTCTTCTTGTCGAAGGCGTGTTCCAGGACATTGGCGCCGATGGCGCCGGCAATGGCAGCACCGGCAGTCCCTAGGAACCCCCCGCCCGCCTTGTGAGCAGCCCAGGCGGCGCCGCCGCCTCCAACGAGGGTTGCGCCGAGGCCACGCTCACCATCGGGACCTACAGCGCCCTCGGGCCCGCCGGGGCCGCCGGAGCCAGTGGGACCAGTGGCATATTGGCCCTGCGAAGCGCCTGCGGCGTAGTCGGCGGCGGCACCGCCCGGCTGGCCGGGGTGCTGGGCTGGCCGGGGCGCGGG